ATCGGAGGTTGCCAAAGTCACCATAATGGCATACTATCGGTTGTATATGGCCGACCGTGCATCGGTGAGGCTTTTTCCGACCATGGATCACAAATCCATGGTCGAAAAAAGCCAGATCTGGCTGTTTCACAACCAGATCTATGGCCGTTTCACGGCCAAGCATGTGGCCGTGAAACGGCGATTGATCTGGCCATGAAATAGCCAGGTCTTTGGCCGTGAAACGTTTCACGGCTAAAGACCTGGCCATTTCACTGCCAACAATGGTGGCTTGCTGCCGACAGTGGCTTGGGGTGGGTAGGGGTGTTTTTGTTAAGTTTAAAACATTTTTGGTTGCTAGGGTGTTTTTGCTCAATCTGAAAAGTAGGGGGTTAAAAGAAATTATTCAAACAATAATAATGAAAATATTGTTAAATTAATATTTAAAAAGGAGGGTAATTTAGTAATCTATAGAACATACCCACCCATTTATCCTTCCAACCAAACATATTATTCATCAATATATTCGAACCAACTAAACAGATTTTCTAAACATTCCCAGTAATCTGTAAGGTGATCTTTTATTCTGTTAATATAATATCCCCCTATAATAAAATATTATATGATCCAAACGTCCTCATAATGGTACTGTAATATCATGGCGCTCTACAAAACAAACATTAGTTGCCACTTCCTCCAATCACTCTGAGATTCTTGTGCTTCATGAAGCCAATCGAGAATGCATATGGTTAAAATCTGTCATCCATCATATTGAAAGTACATGCAAATTGCCACGTACCATAGATGTTCCCACAATTATAAATGAAGACAATGCGACATGTATTGCCCAAGTCAGGGGAGGATATACCAAAGGAGACAAAATCAAACATATTTCACTGAAGTTCTTTTACACTCACGAACTCCAGCAAAATCGAGAGATTGATGTCAAACAAATACGCTCTAGTGATAATCTTGCAGATTTATTCACTACGGCCTTACCGACATCAACATTTGAAAAGTTAGAGTATGGCATTGGCATGCGGCGGCTCAATAAGTTACTAAATTAATTCTACCATTATGGGGGGGGGGTGTGGGGGGGGTGTGGTGTGGAGAGGAGCACTGATCAAGAGGACCATCAATTAGGGGGAGCTTTTAGAAAGGTTTATTATACTAGACATATGTGCACTGTACTCGTTTTTCTTTGATCAAGTTTTGTCCCACTGGGTTTCCCTGACAAGGTTTTTAACGAGGCAGTATTCCGCACGTCCAACACCATTATACAATTCATCATGAATTTTGTTTCTTTGCTCAAGGTTTTTGTCCCATTGGGTTTTTCCTAAGTAAAGTCAACTATAATTGTTTGTAAGTGGTGGATTTTTTTTTTTGTAGAGATCCAAGAGGGAGTGTTGTAAAGAAATATGGATCTACCACCATTTGACACATTTCATCATACTATTGCCACCTCTTGACACATGGCAAAAGATGGTAACAATTTGTGGCACCTAGTGGCTAAATGGCAAGATTTGATTAGTTTGGGGGTGGCAAGAAATACTATATAAACCTTTCCCTCCTTTGTAATTCTAGTGTATTAAAATGAGAAGATGATAAATTTCACCCCCTATATTGTTCTTCAATTTGCAGTAGTCTCTTATCTTTCATTAGTTATGCATTAGTCCTTATAATTGTTCTAATCGTAATTATTATACAACATTATTTTTATTATTCTTCAGTATTTTTAAAATCAACGAGATTTAATTGTAATCTCTCAATTCCGAAGTTAGTGTTAGGACCAAACATATTTACACAACCCTACTAAATAGAAATGTCTGTCAACGCTTTATTTCTTATGATTGTCAACACCATGCATCTGTGCAATTAGCACTTTTCATGTAACTACCCAAGCCAATATATTTGGCCAAAGCTGATACTTCAAACCAAGCAAATTAATAAGCAGAAATTACCCGAAATTACAATCTTCAATGACAGAGACAAACCCTAAATAATTTCCCTATCAAACACAAGAAATTACAATAATTTGCTCGTGGGCAATAGATAATAGGTAAAAATGTCAAACTCAAATGGCATTGATGCATATCAAAATAGGGAATATGTTATAAGTACCACGACTGTCTCACTTAAGACATCACTTGATAAATTATTCTTTTAAGCATGGATTGCGTGGACGAGGTTATGATAAAGCTAGTAATATGCAGGTAAGTTCAATGGTTTTAAACCACTTATTTTGAAGAAGAATACCTATACTTATGATATTCATTATTTTGCTTATTTGGTTCTCGTTTCTATGTCAATGAAGCATGATGAAGTTATTTCTCTCTTTAATTTAGTTACCATGGTGGTTGGAATCTCATCTAAGCATTGTGATATTGTTTAAGAAAAACATGCACTTGTAGTTATTAAAGCATTACAAAGTGGTGAGCTTTCAAGTAGACAAGGTCTCAATTAAGAAACTAATTTGATGTGTCCTAGTGATACAAGCTGGAGCTCACAAACATGCATTGAGTTATTTTATGTTATTCTAGATGTGCTATTTCAAGAGTTCAATAAGACAAATACTGAGTTGCTTTCTTTGTTTGAATTGTCTATGTTCATTTGTTGATTTTAATAAACTAAAACTATTGTGAGGTGCTAAATATTATCTTGAAGAATTTTTCTGTAATAGATTTTATGATACTTAAATTATGTATATGCTCTCTAGCACTGGCTTTTCAAAGTTATTATGTTAAAAATTTAAAGTATGTTATTTATTTGATTCTACCCCGAGGTTTCATTGATTATGGAGAGGGGGTTGGAGATAATAGTCCCCTTAGTTGTCGCCCTTTTGTGTGCTCACATACTTGTCCCGCACAAGAAGTTTTTGTGATCTTAAAGCTCTCGATGAAGAGTCAATATCCTATTTGGCAGCATTTTCATGGGCAGTGACATGTATCATTTCATTGGTGACAATGAAACCACATAATTGGGAGCTCCAATAAAAAAATTGTCTTCACTCTTAGTGCCCTAATACCTGAAAATGTTGGTTATTGTACACATAATAAAGAAGCACCAATGGTATAGTTAATTAATTTAATTAAAATATAAATCATACATATTATAAGAATAAAACTAAGTGGAGGAGGATGATGATGAATATATTTGATTATTAAAGTATAAAGTATAGGCACTTATAAGTAGTTAATATTGAATAACTATAGGTAGCCTCATGTGATGCCTACCATGTAGGAGTTAGGCCATTGATATAATATAATAAGAATCAAGCTGGCATGCAAGGAGTCATATATACACTTTAAACCAATACAATTTTGACATTCAATTCCAATCCACACCACCTTTAGCTTTGTCTTATTTAATTTGCCCCTTACAAAAAGCAAGTGAATGATTCGCAAGATTATATTTCTCAAATTAATGATGGCAACTCAAATTTTTTATTTGAAATAAAATAAACTCAAATAATAGGAAAAATAGAGATATTAGTTTCAAATCAGAGTTAATGACATTAATTTATATCGACTTACTAAAGAATTCATTTTGTTAAGGAAATTTACGTTATATTATATTTGAATGGTTTATTTAACTGTTTCAGATGGTTAATTGGAGACAGCTTAAGAGTTCCGCCGCTGAACGCACTTCCCCAGACGCCGATCGACTTTATTCAACAATTGGTCCTCCACCACTCAACTTTCTTATTTTTTATATGATTGGCATCTTCCACTCCTATATTTGTTAATTAAACAATTCTCCTACTTGCCTAGCAAGAATCCTACATCCAAAATAGCTCAAAAGTTTATTCATTACACCTTACCCGGGAATTTCCTTATGTAAACGAGACATATCTACACTCAACCAATTATATAATTACATTAGAATCTGCACGTCCTCCAAGTTTGGTTGCCTCAATGTGGAGAAGTTCTTCTCATCTAGCAGAAACACTTTTTCTTCAATATACACAACTAGGCTAAGGCCAGGCAAAATTTGTCACCATTTGAAACAACAAACATATTTGATAAATGTTGAACTTATCCCAGCCATGTTATCAGAGTGATGAAAGAGATGTTACTGGAGCAATTGGATACTCTATTCCCACAAACAAAACAAAACAAAAAAAAAATATATATATATATACACACGAGTAATACTAGCCATACAAAGAGATAAATCCAACCCTTGAAATTCATGATTATCTCTTTCTCTCTCTCTTAAAGGGTTGGATTTGTCTTTTTGTATGCCTATTTGTAAGGTTAGTATTACTCTATATATATTTGTTGGAATCTACCATAATTATAAACTGAAAACTTCTATATTTCTACCATACATAAAATCTCTGCACAGCAACACCTTCCAAGGTATCTGTGGGTTTCACAATAGCATCCCTGCTTTTGTCAAAATTCACCGAAAGGTGGTTGGGATGATAAAGAAAGCCGAAGGCATTACATTGAATCCATTATTTTTCTGGGCCAATTGCCAGATATACAAGGGTCCAAAAAACGCAGCTACAGACAAGAATATCTTCACTATAGAACATCGCAGCAAAAGCGTGTACAAGCCTGACACTCTTCTTAAGTGTGAACGCAGGTCCATTCCGTGATAATTATCAAAATCCAGCTCGGCTCACATCATCACGAATACCCCTCGAAAAGATTTCTGGTTCTTTTCCTCATAATTGTGAGGTTACTAAAGTCTGATTCATTTTTCTAAAGGACAAAAAGCATGCTATATTAGCTTGAAGAAATATGTAATCATATTTTCTGCAGCAAGAAATGCTTCAGACTTAATTAAATATGTACGAAGTAACCATTAAGTAGTTAAAGCTTTTGACTATCCATTATGGATAATGTACACGTCGAAGAGACTCAATAGAATAACAAATACTAACTCAAACACGCACACAAAGAAAAAAAAAAGGGAAAACCAACTAGACGGATTATATTTTCTGGTACCACGCACGAGTTTAGTGATTTGACAAAGTTCAACCAAACGACATCAAAGAAAGGGAGTGAGAAACAGACCTGTCATAAAGAATCTGTGTGCATACAAAGTCCACAACAATTACAAGCCAAAGTCCAGTTCAGCTCGCTTCAGCAAAGATGTCACCCTCTTAAAAAATTCAGGTTCCTTTTCCTTGATATCGTCAAGAGTCCTTGATTCATGTTCATCTGCCTATAAAGAATGATGAAAAAATGTTATTTGTAATTAAAACGAAAAAGAAATGCAATCAGATCTTCAACAGCATGAAATGATTTCATCCAGTAGTTCACCTGACACCTAATTGGATGACACTCTAATCATAGCTATAACAAACTGCATTAGGGTTTTGGCAAGTCAATAATAAAGATAAATCTCTTCCATCAACTATATTATTCCCTTGCTCTCCAAATTGAAATGCAATTCAGAGATTCCAATAAATGACCAAAAATAAAAGACTAGATGATTTATGCATAATTGTGTATACACTGGGTCTCCTTGACATTGGTTATACAGAAAAAAGATAGGCCAAGCTCTTCCAAAAACTTAAACACAGCATCAACAATTTTTCTTATGCAGGAATACTTGCTAAATGAGAGAATGGAACGAACAAAAATGACAAAAAAACCATGAAGCTATGGCTATAGAAAAAAGTTTGAATGGTTATGTAGCAATGGATTTTTAAGAAAGTCTCCAAAAATAATAAATCCACTCCTATATGGGCATATGCTAGTATCAGTCAAACATTTTGATTGCTTTTACCTCCTTCCCACTAGGGATTTTAGCAGCCTTCAAAAATAATTTTGGCACTACAAGGACAGTATTATGGCAATTCAGTTAAACATTAGTGACAAACGTAGAATCAAACATCTGATACTAAAATTGATTCGGATGCATTAATTAAAAGGCTTTTGGAAAAATTTAAAAGAACAAGTTAATGATGTCTTTTATAATTTTATTATTGCTTTGTAGTGCTTGAAGCTCCATTTGTTTGTTAAATAATTAAATCCGACAAATATACCTCTTTAAATTTCAAAAGAATCAAGTTTGATACGCATGCTGGCTTCATTCTGTCCCACCTGAAAAGCAATGATGGATAACAGCACAAAAATGAGAATGAATCAACTATACAATTTAAGAAGACAACTATAATCCAATAACAGGTACAAATAATTGTGTGACTAACTGTTACATATAGCCATAGTAATCACAAAACTTGTCAAATGACGTCATAGATTAATACAAGTCTAATCGAATTCTGAAATGCATAGATCTGCAGTAATGCCACAGCAAAATATTGCTTAAACTTTTAATAAAGCAAAATGATGAGTAAAAGCTGCTGTTTAAGTCAAATTCAAGCAACACAAGGAACTTGTTGCTCGAGCTATCGATGAATGGAATGATCAGCAATGATGTAACAGATAAAACCCTGGAAAATACCAAACAGCAAAAGGACAGATGCAACTATCCAAGCTCAGTTATGCAAAAGAATAAAATTTCAGTAACAATTTATCATAAAAACAAATATAAAAAAATGTTTTATTTGGTGCTTGATACTGTATTTCACAGTCTAACAACCAACTAAATTAGGTTATTCCATGTAAACAGAGATCAACAAGGAAAGGACGTTCCTTCTTATAAAACATTACACATAATGCACACTTTTAAACTATACATCTGTCCTTCGTTAAAAAAGAGAAGATCAAACATATTAAACTACAGTACTAAAACGTCAGCAACAGATATTGTTAATTATGAGTTTTTGCCCAAGGAAAACAATGCTAAATTCAGTATACACAAACCACACCTCACAAGCATTAACTCATTAACTGATCGCCACATTCCACGCCCTACATCTTTTGCAGACTGCTCCCTTGCACTTCGTCCATGCCACAGCTCCTTTGCAACATACATAACTTCCTCAAGATCTACCTGTAACAGATGGTAGGAGTAACAGAAAGCATGTTATATCAGAAAGCTAGGACAGTAATTTGAGAAAATATGAACCATCAATGAGCCAAAAGCTAAAAGCTCTGGTATAACACAAATGAATTTAACATATCAGCATACTGAAAATTCTTCTCTTCCCTAACAAATTAAACATATAGCAACACATAAATTAATTACAAATGGAAACATCAAACAATCACACTATCCAAAGAAGAACAATATAAGAATACTTAACCTGTTAACTGCTATAGTAATTAACAAGTGCAAGAAAACTGTGTAAAGTCACACTATACTGCAATGAGATCACCCATTCAAAGCAAAGCAATTAGGTATAAACTAGAAAAATAATATGGTCAGTTATTACGAAAAATTTGCTGAATGCTTTCAGTTTGAAAATAAGAGTAATATGACCCGTCAAAAAACTTTTATAAGTCTTCTGGCATACAAAACCACAATCACCAATTCCAGAGTCAATGGACACTAATAGTATTTACATTGAGGGATCTGATGTTTAAATTCCATTGAGCATCTCAAGAAACTAAATGGTTCTCCTGGGATGATAAAAGTAAGGGTTGCAACAATCCAGGCTTGTCAGTTACCTATATATATATATATATATAAGAAAGTGACATAAACTTCTCAAATCTTCTAATTACAAGTTTCATAAGATAGCACATGGTAGCAAGACTTTCCCATTCATATAAAGGAAAAACTTTTTCAATTTCTGCTCTCAATTCTAGAGCTTTCAATTTTAATGTTCATCCTGAGAACAAGTGCAGCCTTTCTCATGAAGAAGATTATTAAAATCCACCAAATGCCCAGTAAACCAGTACATGCAAAGCATAAATGAACAAATCAACTTATCATATTTGGTTAAAAAAGCTCTTAAAAGAAACTCAAAGTGCTAAACATTTGGCTCAAACAATAAACATAAAACTAATATCAGAAGTACATCTTTCAGTAAAGATAGATTAAAAGAAAATTTTCTAACCTGGACTTCCGCGGCTGTGCCATACAATGATTCCTCATGCTCAATAAGGCGTTGGTGAAGCACCTGATAATGGTCACTATCTAAGTTTACTATGGGCTCTGTTTGAACGTTCAACCCAGAAAGCTGTGTCACAACATAGGAGGCCATGACCTGTCCAAAAATTGCAGGGATGCTACCTAGAACAGGTATGATGCGAACCCTGAACCCAGGTACCATCTGATAATGCAGTAAGAGGTTTAAATGTTAAATCACAAAGAGAATTTATGTTAAAATCTGGTAATTGCAAGCTAAGATTAAGATAACTCGAAATTGATGCAAAGCAACAAGAAGATTTTGATCATTCATCCTTAATATATTAGATACATCAGCTCCATTATCAGAAGGTTAAACAATCCATATTATTATAAAAAAAAAGTTAACAACTAATTCAAACTAATAGTATAAAACCCTTACTTGATAATCTAAAGGATTTTCCTCAGCTCCACTTGGCCCCTTAAACGGAAGCAGCTTTACCTTAGGTTTCTCCAAGGAAAAAACAACAGGAATACCACCTTCGATGCCATAATCTTTCTTCAAACGGTGCCTTACCTGAAAAAAAGCAAATACCATGAGGACCCTAATATTAACACAAGGAGGAATAACTACTACTGCATATTTACTTGCTACAATAACTTAAACAAATGGAAAATAAAATACACCATCATTAAAACTGTGCACCAACATAAGACAAAATTATTTCCAAGATACATGCATTTATCAGTCAGAAACTATGACTCATGTATTTATGATTCACCTCCAAGGTTTTTCTACTTTTTTTTCCTTTTCATAGACAACATTCGAAGTGATCGACACATAGGCAACTGATGCATAAAACTGTAAGATTTAAATAGTGGCAACGCTGAATTGCAGTAGCAGATACAGGCTTAATATCCAGAGCTTGAAGTTGTTAAAAATCATTAGACCCAAAAATTTAAACCATGCCTTCCAACATAGTATTAAGTCATCCAACAGGTCAACCCATGTAGCAGAGGATCTCTGGAAGCAGTGGCATTAGTTAATTCAGGAGCAGATTTCTGAAATACAATTCAAAAACAACTCAAATTTTAAACAGAGCAGATGGTAGTAAGCTTTTAGCAGACTATAAGCTTTCAGGGGGCAATGGTCTGTTCTCAAGGGACCATCTAGAAACTCCATTGATATCAGTAAAAAATCTCACCCAAGTTATTTTGGGATCCCCTCTTCTGAACATGTTGTATCTTAATCAGATAGATGAGACAGGTTAAGAATCCAAAATCGCGGACACAAAATTCCCATTGATTTTCTAGAAGAGCCAAAAAAGCAAGAAATTAAATGCCTAAAGAAGCAAACTGAAAATAAATAAATAAAAAAAAAAAAAAAGATTTCTCTTTCATTTACACAAAGTCAATCAGGAAATTATAGAAAAAATCAAAAACGTTCAAGAAATAATAAAAAAGGAAGTGTGTTTTGAGATCTCAAAAACATTCTAGAATAGGAAAAAAAATGCAGGCGGTGGAGCTTCCCTATGAGGAGTCTACTGAAAGACAAGTATCTAAGAAGGCAAGGCCAGTCCAAATGAATGATGGACAATTGGAGCTATGCATAAGGAAATTCAAGAACTCTTAAAGAAATGTTTAATCAGAAAAGGCTATTCTCCTTGGTCCTGTACAGCATTTTAGGGGGAAAATGCAGCAAACAAAAAGAGTGTTTAGAGGGGAGGGTGCGAAGTTGGTGCGTATTTTTGGGTGGGCTTTGGGTATTATTTTTTTATATTTCATTAATTATTATTAATTATAAAAAACTAGAGTTTAAATTGTATTTAAGGCAAATCTTAAGGAGTTTAAGGAAAAATTCTAAAAATTCTAAATATTGAATAAGAACAGATCAGGGGTATAATAATCCTTTACTGATTCCAGGGTCAGCAGTTAATGATGAATTGGACGGCATTATAGTCATCTAGGGTGTAACTTGGTTTAAAATAACATATACTATTCATTCGCCCAGCACTTTCTAAAATTCCAGAGGAGGTGGGCGTTACTGATTTTTTCCCATCTGAAACACAAAATACTTACATTTGAGAGCCAAATATATAAGAATTAGCATCCACTATTCATAAAATGAATTGTCTATGCAACGCAGCTCTACTTAACAGATGATAAAGAAGATAGGCATTTATAAATCAGTTAGCAGTTGAAGAGACAGCATTAAAAAAAGCCAGAAGCATTACAGATCGAGATAGTGGATCATTTGTTGACTCTTTCAAATCAGCCACGCGAATTCTTGTTGGGTCAGCTCTAGCACCAGCTCCTGTTGCAGATAGAACCTTCAAACCCCTACGTACACATGCAGCAAGAAGTGCCACCTATGATATATGAAAATTGAGTATGTTATATCATCTATCCAATATCAAAATCATATATAAAAACGATATTTAAAAGGACTATGGAGTGCCTGAAATGAAATACTATTGCCCTGTCAATACTTTTTATTTTAGCCTTGTTGAAAAACTATAATTTCAGAAGTTTAAGCTTATACCTTACGTGCCATTCAAAGTGTGGCCTAATTTATTCAACAAGCTTGCCCAAAAAATAGAAAGACAAACCCATCAAACACTATGACATAGTTTAATTAATAAAACGGAAGGTTTTTCCAGATTCCAACAAAAGACTTCTAAATTGAATAAGCTCAGGTACAATGTTTAAAAACCATAATTTAAAAAACTTAAATATGTATGAAAGGCCAAAAGATAGTATCTAAATCATAACAAGACAAAACTCATTAAGTATGGCAACTTTAGATGATCATGTGGCCTTATCTAGTCATGTATAAGATGCTAAATAAGCATATTTAAGGATTTTCTTTTACCCTATATCACAATCTTCAAATGTAATTCATATATAAAAAGTACAGTAGATAACTAGTATTGACTTTTCCCCATATTAAAGAAATAATTTCACTGCTAATCAAAGTTAGTTTCCAAGTGAACCATACTCATAAGCAAGAAAAGGTACCTTTGTATCAATGTTATCAATGCAATCCAGAACAAAATCAGGGTGGCCTGAAAGAATTTCTTCTTCGGATGATGCATCATATAGTAGCACTTTTGCCTCTACATGGCATTCTGGGAAGATCAATGAGAAATACTTTTTGAGGCACTGGGCTTTTGGAGTACCAACGTCCACTCGGGTTGCAACAGCATGTCGATTTAATGATGAAACTGATACCTTCTCACATGATAAAAAATTATACATAACTATTGCAAATAAAAAAAATAAAATTCTAAAGCTATTAACTTCTGAAAATAAAAATAAAAGAGTACTTTAAACTTATCCATTTTTTGCAACGCCTTAGTCCTATTCTTTCGATGCTTGGCAAATATATATATATATATATAGAGAGAGAGAGAGAGAGAGAGAACGGAAATTAAAATATCAATGCTACCAATACCTTCCANATAAAAATAAAAGAGTACTTTAAACTTATCCATTTTTTGCAACGCCTTAGTCCTATTCTTTCGATGCTTGGCAAATATATATATATATATATATATATAGAGAGAGAGAGAGAGGGAGAGAGAGAGAGAGAGAGAGAGAGAGAGAGAGAGAACGGAAATTAAGGGTGTGTTTGGTTTATTATTTTGGATAGGATTTTGGGAATAATATTGGGTAGTTGGATAGGGGAGTATTACGAGGTAAAATTTAAAAATTTCTAAAAAACCTCCCTAGGTTTGCTAAGTTAATTAACACCCCAATACATAAAAATTTTGTAAAATGACAAAAACACCTCCCACCACCTGCAGTGCCAGATTCCGGCCACCACCGTCGGAATCTGACCGAAAAATTATGTTACAACACAGACCAGTCGTATCTGTGTCGTAACGCATAGATCTGGCCTTTTTCGGCAAGATGCCAGATGTGGCCGTCGACATCCGCAAAAGCCCATCGTTGGCAGTCGTTGTTGGTCAATGATGGCCAAGATTTGGCCGTCAGATCAGTGAATTATTAATCAGTTCCGATTGAGATGTAAGCCGTTGTGCCAAATTCCGACAACCACCAGTGGTGGTTGCCAGAATCTGTCAAGAATGGGTGGATGGGGGTGTTTTTGCTAATTTTTAAACTTTTTTTCTGGGGGTATTTAATGAAATTAATAAAATTAAGGGGTCTACAGCAATTAAACAAATATAGTAATATTTCTGGAATAATGTGCCAAACAATATTTGGGGAATAGGATTGGGAATATGAATAGAAATAGGGAACCAAACGCACCCTAAAATATCACTGCTACCAATACCTTCCAAATATTATTACTAGCACGATTGAAAGATAAAATTCCAAAAGGCTAAAGCAAATTGTTAAAAGTCCTTTTTTTTTATTTTTTTTTATTTTATGTTGGTTTGGGCCTATTGGATTATAAGGAACTCATATATTTAATGACTATTAGTGCGTCTATTAGGGCTTGTAATATCTGCCTTTAAATTAGAGTAGGAGGGTTGGTGAAAGGAAAGTTTTTCTTATAATTTCTTCTGCCTATTTTCTCTTTATTTTATTATTTCATACTTCAACTCAAATAAAAGAAATAATATATCAAAAAGTCATTTGTACTAAAACCATAAAGAGTAAAAACACATTTATCTACCAAATAATTACAATTTCTTATAAGTATAGGAGAGCTTTTCTTAAATTTCTTCTGCTATCTTCTCTTTATTTTGTTATTTCATACTTCAACTCAAAATAAAAAATTTAATATATTAAATTGAAAAGACATTTGTACCAAAACCATAAAGAGTAAAACAAGTGTATGTACCAAATTCTAATGGTACATAATTACATAAGCTCGAAAAATAAGAGACCAGATACAATACATATAGAAAACCAAGTTACATGGACCCTTGAAACAAAGTCGGGATGACAAGGTGTCCGACGCAGATTCCTCTTGGAAAAGTTAAAATTTTTCATTAACTTGTAACATACAGTATCCAAATAAACAACTACTCCTAGATGATGAAAAAACTCATATGATAGAGCGATCCAATATCAGTAATGCCATACTAAAAGCACTCAAATGCATTAAATTACCTTTGTTGGCATGTCAAAGAGTATTGACAACCTTCATAGTACATATATCGGCTTCATTTTCATAAAAGCATACAGTATTATATGCCCAACTTCATTTATGTCTAAATTTCAGATATAATTGAACTGCAAAAAGTGATTATCAAAGGGTAACCCCCAATAATACTCCAAAAAACTCACTTAAAGAAAAATTATACAACTAAATCACCCAAATATAAATTGTATGCGAGAAGAATAAAAGAAGCATAATTTTACTAAAATGCTGTTAGTCTCTACACCCATCTTAAGCATTTCACTTCTACTGTCTAAATTCATTTGTTTAAATTTGTTACAAGCAGAGAACTGATTGTAATTTTCTTATGTATTGCATTGACAAATTATACATCAATATATAGAAAAATAAAGAACTAATCTAGGAAATAAATAATCTAATCGGAAATAAAAAATCTAACTTCCTATTTTACAGATTTGTTCCTATTATGTACTGATTACAATCCTAATATCCTATTATAGATTTATTCACTTAATCATGCAATATCTGTAAAATTTTGCATAATTACTACAACATCTACAACACTCCCCCTCAGATGGAGCATAGATGTTAATTATGCCCAGCTGTTACAAATATAATCAATTCGAACCCTTCAAAGCTTTAGTGAAAACATCTCCTAGTTGCTCTCCAGTCTTCACATATCCTGTAGAAATTAAACCTTGCTGTATTTTCTCACGAATGAAATGACAGTCAATTTCAATGTGCTTAATTCGTTCATGAAATACGGGATTAGAAGCATATGCAGAGCGGCTTGGTTATCACACCACAATTTTGCTGGCAAAGAGGCCATAAGACCAACTTCAGTCAAAAACTGATATATCCCTATTACTTCACACACAGACTGGACATAGCCCTATATTCCGATTCTGCACTAGATCGGGACACAACAGTTTGCTTCTTACTTTTCCATGAGACCAAATTTCCACCAATAAAAACACAGTAGCCGTAGTGGATCTCCTATCTATCTGGAACCCGTCCAATTTGCATCAGAGAAGCACTCAATATTATTAGTGTCCATGATTTCCGTACAAAATACCACGTCCTGGAGCTCCTTTTAGATAACACAGAAATGTTCTAACGCTGCCCAATGATCAACAGTAGGAAAGACATGAATTGACTTACTACACTAACGAGTACGAATATCAGGACGAGTGACTGTTAGATAGTTCAACTTTCCAACCAGTCTTCTATACCTCTCAGGATCTTCAAATAGTTCACCATCTTTGGTAAGTTGCAAATTAGGAAACATTGGCGTACTACATGGCTTAGCACTCAATTTTCCTGTCTCAGTTATAAGTCAAGTACTATTTCCTCTGAGAGAGAAGATGCCTTTCTTGCTCCTTGTTACCTCAACCCTAAGAAATACTTCAACACTCCTAAATCTTTTGTAGAAACTGAGTGTGAAGAAATGACTTAAGTAATGCAATCCCTGTAGTGTCACTCCAATATGATAATGTCGTCAACATATACAACAAAGAATAATGCCAACTGCCGATTGTTTGTAAAAGACTGAGTGATCAGACTTGCTCTTTGTCATTCCAACTTTGCAACTACCTCACGAACTTTTCAAAACCAGCACGTGGACTCTGTTTCAAACCATACAACGATTTGCGAAGTGACAAACTTTCCCATACTCCCCCTGAGCAACAAATCCAGTGTTTGCTCCAATAGACTTCTTCCTGAAAGTCACCATGTAAAAAAGCATTTTTTATGTCTAACTGATGTATATGGCCAGAATGAGTAGCCGCCATAGAGATAAATAAGCGAACAGAAGTCAATTTAGCCACAGGGAAAAAAGTGTCAGAATAATCCACTCCATAAGTTTGAGCATAGCCTTTAGCTACAAGACGAGCTTTAGCCGGCCACTGACCCATCAGGATTTCCTTTAACCACACACCCATTGCATCCAATAGGCTTCTTTCCAGTAGGTACCCCATTCCAAGTACCATTAACATCTAAAGCAGTCATCTCTTCTATTATAGCATCACGCCAACCAGAATGAGATAAGGCTTCATGGACAGTTGCAGGAAGGGGACAGAGTCTAGTGATGCCACAAAAGAACAGAAGAAGATGATAGGTGATCATAAGAACAAATGAAGATATAGGATAAGTACACTGACGTTTACCTTTCCGAAGCAAGGAAGATCAAGATCACTCAAGGTTGGATCCAACGACGAAGAGTCTTGGGTAGACATGAAGTCTGAGTGTCTTCTTGACAGGAACACAGGAGCCGGATCACTGGGACTGGGTCTAACGACAAAAGGACTGGTACAAGAGGTTCCTGTCGACGAGAATAGACAATCGAATTGGAGGTAGTGACGAACAAGTGTGGTGCCGGAGGAGGAACGTATGTGGGAAGACTCAGGTGTGAACGTGACAGTATAGATTAGTAAGTCATCGTCCTCCCCCTGCTGTATAGGTAGAACGAAGTGGGAAAAAAAAGGGGTGTTTTCTAGAAAGTAACATCAGGTGACACCTGATATCTATAAGACCAGGACAATAACATCGATATCCCTTCTGAAGACAGAGGTAACCTAGAAAACCAATTTAAGAGATTTGGGATCTAACTTGGTTACTTGGGGTCGAACATCACAACAAAACAAGTACTACCAAATATCTTTGGGGCAATAGAAACAAAGATTACGGGAAGAGAACACTGTAAGAGTGGAACCATTCAAAATAGAGGAAGGCATGCGGTTAATTAGAAAACAGGTCGTGGAAACTGCATCGGCCCAAAACTGTTTAGGAACTTGCATTTGAAATAATGGCTCGAGCGTTTTCAAGAAGGTGCCTTTTTCCTCTCGGCTACTCCATTTTGGGATGTGTGTCAACACAAGAGGATTGATAAGAATGTCATGCTGGCGCATATAAGACTGAAAAGAACTCGAGAAATACTCTTTGGCATTATCGTTTCTTAATGTCTGGACAAAAGCATTAATTGAGTTTTAACTTCAGCACAAAGGCACAAAAATGAGAAAACAACTCAGAACGATCTCATTAAATAAAGCCAAGTTACACAGAGTTGTCATCAACAAAGGTAACAAAATATTTAAATCCAGGTTTTAGACACAATAGACACGGACCCCAAACATCTGAATGA